TTTCTGAAGAAGGGTCTAGGCCCGAAACGTCAGCCTTCCTGCTCCTCTGATGCTGCTTGGCCTGCTGTGTTCATCCAGCTCTACACCTTGTTATCTCAGATTCTCCAGCATCTGCAGTTCCTACTATCTGTGAAGGAATTCACTGTTCTTTATTTCTGCCTCTCTTTTTATAGGAACTGCTCCAGGGTCTATGGAATTTTAGAAAATGATCACCAATGCATGCAATATTTCAGGGCCACTTCCTTTAGTATTCTGGGACGTACAGCATGGTGTCTCACTGGTTAGCACTGCTGCCTCACAGTGCCAGGGACCTGAGTAAGATTCCACCCTCAGGCGAATGTCTGTGTGGAGTTTGCACATTATCACTGTGTCTGCAGGGATTTTCTCTGGGTGCTCTGGTTTCCTTCCACAGTCCAATCCTTGAGATTGTTGATTAATCCTTTTTTGTTGTACAGTACCCCGTTTAGACTTGTGATGAAGGCAGCATTTGGTACGCTTGCCTTTATTGGTCAGTGCATTGAATATAGGAATTTGGAGGTCATGTTGCAGCTGTACAGGACATTGGTTAGGCCACTGTGTTCAATTCTGGCCTCCCTCCTGTAGGAAAGATGTTGTGAAACTTGAAAGAGTTCAGAAAAGATTTACAAAGATGTTACCAGGGTTGGAGGGTTTGAGCGACAGGGAGAGGCTGAATAGACTGGGGCCATTTTTCCAGGAGCACAGAGGTTGAGGGGTCATCTTATAGAAGTTTACAAATGACAGCATGGATAGGGTGAATAGCCAAGGTCTTTTCCCCAGGGCAGGAGAGTCCAAAACTAGATGGCATACATTTAAGGTGAGAGGGATAAGTTTTAAAAGAGACCTAAGGGGTAAATGTTTCATGCTGAGGCTGGGGCATGCAGGAAATGAGCTACCAGAGGAGTTGGTAGAGGTTGGTGCAATTGCAGCATTTAAAAGGTATCAGGATGAATAATAAGGGTTTAGAGGGATATGGGCCAAATGCTGTCAAATGGGACTAGATTAATTTAGGATATCTGGTTGGCACAGATGGGTTGTACTGAAGGGTCTGTTTCTATGCTGTACATCTCTATGACTCTAACAGCCTGCTCTCCAGAAGGGTCCAGACCCGAAACGTCAGCTTTCCTGCTTCTCTGATGCTGCCTGGCCTGCTGCGTTCATCCAGCTCTACACCTTGTTATCTCAGGCTCCAGCATCCGCAATTCCTACTACCTCTGTTCTCCAGTTAGTTCCTCAATGTATTGGTCTAAATAAAAAATCACGCACCTTGCTGAAAATCCTTCTCCACAACACTATTGCTTGTATGTATTTAAATTAAAAACACCTTTTTTCTCATATCTTCTTGTAGTCTAGATGAGATCAACAAATTTATGTAATGAATTGGCTAGGGACCAATGTAATTTTCATTATATATGTAGATATACTATGACATCCAGTGAATTGCCCTCTCCTTAGCTTACTACTACTACTGTCTTCCTCCTCCTCAACCACGACCGCACCCCCTTACTACCAGGGTTCCGTCCCTCCCTGCTTCACTTACAACTCGCTCTAGCCCCGCCCCTTTACTCCTTGCGCGTCACTGACACCGCCCCCACTGGTGTCCCCACCACATCACTCAACAACGGCCCCGCCTCCCCAGTGGCCCCGCCCCCCCGATGAACCGTCCCCTCTGGCCCCGCCGGCATGTGGCCTTGCCCCCTCCCCCAGCATTGGGGCGGGGTTTGTTGTCGGGCTCGGCCTTAGTCGACGGCATTAGTGGAATTAGCGTCTGCGGCTTCGGGTGAGTGCGGGTAGAAGTCGTGGCCCCGGTATGGTGCTGCCTAATTAACTTGTCTGGGTGCGGGCTCACAGCGGGAACGGCCCGGTTACCGTCAGTTGCCTCTCGGGGCCGGTCTGGCGGCCTGCCCACGGACCTGACGCTGCTCTTTAAGGCGAGGCCATGCATCCACCTCCCCCCGGGCTCGGACCCGTTGAAGCCCTCACTGTGCTCAATTCATCCCGCGAAGCAAGGCCTAGGCCCCTTGCCCAGCTTCAGGAAATAACGGAAGGTGCCTAGATCAGGTCCTCGCCGAGGTTGAGGGGAGCGAAATCTGAGAAAAAAAAGCCTTTCGAGGGGCAGATCACTAAATGGAGGGGGAGGGTTATTGGGTATTTTTATGGGTGGAGATTAAAGCGGCGCTTTAGACGGTCTGAGGGCCGCTCGATGAGATGAGAGAAGATTTGAAGCATTTAAACGGAACGGGAAGAGTCTGGAGTGTCAAATGGGATAGGCTGGGTCTTGGGCGGCTGTTTAATAAGATGTGAAAGATCTTGCGGGGTTACTTTGGGTGGGAAGGGTCTGGAGGTTGTAAAGGATGGGAAAGATCTTTGGGTGGGTTTAATGAGATGGGAATTGTTTGGGTGGGGAGGTTTAATTGGAATGTGTAGTGTCTGGACCGGGGTATTGATTAGAATGGGGAGGGCTTTTGGAGATTTTAAATGGGATGCAAAGTTCTGGGGTGGTTGGGCGTAACTGGGCGTCGAAGTGTCTTGGGGGTGTTCAAATGGGATGGAAGGGCCTTAGGGGGTATAAATGGCAATGAAGGGTCTTGGTGGGTTCAAATGGAATGAGGATAATCCCATTTGGGGGGGAGGTGTTAGATGAGATGGGGCAGTTTAGACGAATTTAGATGGTGTTGGGGAGGGTCTGAAGGGGTTTTAGATGGGCTTAAGGATATATTGTGGGTGATTTGTGGCTCAGAAATAATGTAAATTTATCAATGAGGTGAATTTTTAGAGATGTATGGAGTGAGCATTGTGGTTTAGTCTGTTGGTTTTGTATTGGGATGGTTCTTAAGTGGAGTGAGTTTCGCAAAGTTTATGAATAGGATGTGTTCACACTAGTCTAATAGCGATAATAATCTGATTAAAGTATTAATCATTCTTAAAGGGCTTGACTGCACAGATGCTGGGAGGTTGCTACCTCTAGGCTGTGGTGTCTGATGCACTGGTCATAGTCAGCAACTTGGCCTCTTGGACAGAGATAACGAAAACGTTTTTGACTCAGAAGGCTGTGAATCTTTGGAATTCTTGACCCAGAGGACTACCGGTACTCAAGTCATGTAATACATTCAAAGCTGAAATGTGTAGAGCCTTTGAACTTTTGGATAATTGAAGGAGAAGGGGATTGGATGGTAGAGTGAAGTTAAATTGCAGAACAGTTTTGATCTGAGTAGTAAAGAAGGCTTACATATGGCCTAGTATTCCTCCTATTCTTTATGATTTTCTGATCTTGATACTATGAAGGTTAGATAGGGTCGGATTTTATGAAGGCTATTTGAGAGTTGTGTTAGGTGGATTATTTAAAAGGGTGGATGATAGAAGATCTATAAAAGGACGAAGGGTGAAATTGTGTGCCACATTACATGAAGGGTGTCGTTTATGTGGTGTGAGTATTTTTTGATGTCCTGCTTCAACACCTCTGGGCTAGCTACCAAAGTGTGTGTGTGTGTGTGTGTGTGTGTACGTTGAGGTGGGCAGTGTTGTGATTGAGAGAATCCTCCTGGAAATAACTGACACTTGGCTTTTGCTATCCTTTTGATAGTGAATTGAAACATTTGGTGTGATAAGGCCAGCTGTGCAGCATTCAGCTGCAGTATTTCCGTAGCCAAGTGAACATGCATATTGTGCTCTAAGCAAATTCTGCTTAACTCAATCTCGACTCCTTTCTGGAAAGATAGAAAAGGATAATAAACTAAGTGACATGCTTCTTTTTTTTAGTTTGATTCATTTGCTGTTGATATAATCATTCCAGGCAACTTCTAACTAGATTCCTTGAAATGAATATTTAGCTTCTAGCTCATGCAATATATTCTGCTTTAAACCCCTTGTTCAAAATTTGATGTCCCAAGATGAAGAAATTTTACCACCTTTGCTCTTGATTTTAACCCTCAAGAAGCAGGTGGGTCATGTCTTCAACACCTTTGTGCTGGAACCAGTTGACTACCCTATTCCCTAGCCACTGGCATCCATGTAAGTTGGGTTTGACTGTTTGTTCCCCATGGGTCATGATTTGTTTAACATTCCTAGGTCATCCTTCCTAAGGGGCCTGGAGTGGTGGAACAGACCCTCAGCTTGAAATGTACTGAGACTTGTGAAATTTCCTGTTGGGCTGTTGATCTTCATTGTGCACAAACTGTAATTTTTCTTTATAAAGCATGCAAGTTTCCCTTGTTTTAAAATAATCTCAAATACAACTCATCCCACAATCTATTAGAAAGTGAGTACTATCTAGCTGATGATTATTACATAATGGTTAAACATAATTTGGAAATACTGATCAAGTGCTATGTAATTTGAATACTGTATCACAGTGAGCATTGCATGAGTATTTTGAATCATGAGAATTTTTTGAGTAAAGAGACCGTTTTAAATGAGCAGTCGTTTTTGTAAAGAAAGATTATTTATTTCTAGGAGTAGAATAGTTGTCACTTGTATTTGGATCAAATTATATTGCAATGCCCACGTCACATAAATGAATGAAGAGGAAGCCCTGAGGAAGTCCTGCAGCTTCATATGGTGGGTATGTTTTCTGGTCAAGAGTATTATATAGAGTTTTTACAAAGAAGGTGTTATGAACTTTAAATGTTAGATGGGTTTTACTAGACAAAAATGGTCAGAAATCTGATTACATAATATGCATCATGGTGAAAGCAGGGGTTCGGGGTGTGGTCAGAAATAAGTTTATAATTGTACAGTTCCTTTCAAAGGAGACCTGTTCCGCTTTCAAAATATTTAATTGAACCCTGAGTGACACACAACAAAAGAAGGGTAAATGAAATCCTATAAACAGCGATACAAAGGTTGGCAGCTGTCATCTTATTTATTGACTGAATATGAAATATTGCCTCCCAAAACTTTTGACTAGTTAGCCCATCTGTAGTGTTTGGAAATTTTCCTTGTGACATTGATATAGTAGAAGTAGTCACAAATTGACATTGTATAGGTTAATCATTAAACACTGAAATTGAGATGCCATTAATGGAATCATTAGTATAGTTTTCAGCCAGGTCTGTCTCCTGATGTAAGTAACTGCTCGTATTGAAACAGCACCTTTCAATGTGAAAATTTCTCATGCCGTTGGTACTTGGGAAATTTTGATGCTTAAACCAAAACAGGAATTGCTGGAGAAACTTAGCAGGCTTGGCAGCACCTAGGAAGATAAACCAGCATTAACATTTTGAGTCCTGTGACCCTTCTTCAGAACCCTTTTGTTAAACAAAGGACAGGAAATGCTAGAAATCTGAAACAAAAATTGCTGGAGAAGCTCAGTAGATCTCGCAGCATTTATGGAGAGGAAGCAGAGTTAACCATTTCAAGCCCATCTGTTTTCTCTCCATAGATACTGACTGGCCTGTTGAGTTTCTCCAGCAGTTTCTGTTAATGTTTCAGAATCCTTTTTAGTTGTTTCAGATCCCCAGCATTCGCATTTCTTTGTTTAATGAAAGGGTTCTGAAAAGTGGCCACTGGAGTCGAAATGTTAACAATTTTCTCTTCACAGATGCAGCCAGGCCTGCTAAGTTTCTTTTTAAAGTTTGTTATTTCAAAAAGGTGGATCTTAGTCAGAACTTTAATGGAGGATAGTGAGCTGAAGAGGTTTAGGGAGGGAATTCGAAAGCTTAGTGCCTCGGCATCTGCAGTTACAGTCACCAGTTGACTAATGGAAATTGGGCATGTGCAAGAGAAAATGCAGGGTTCTTGGTAGTTGGGTTATGATAGTTATCCAGGAGATGCAGACAAGTCATTGCAGGATTCAGTGATATCTCTATTCACAACTGGAGGGAGACAAAGCAGGAAATAGGCCAGAAATAAAAACTAAGTTCTGAAGAAACTTACCAGATTAGGCAACATTAGTGGAGAGAAAAACATGCCATATTCATGATTACTCCAGAAGTTCCCAGTGTTGCGAATAATATATTAGCCCAGATAGAGGACTGGCTAACTAATGGGAAACAGTTGGGATAAATGGATAATTTTCAGGTTGGAAAACTAACTAGTTGGGTGTCACAGGTGCTTCAACTATCTTCAATCTAGATTAATGATTTGGATGAAGAGACCATGTATTGTAACCGAATTTGCTGCTGGTGCAAACATAGGCAGGAAAGCAAATTGTTTGAAGGACACAGTCTACAAAGGGATTTGTTTTGGAGTAAAAATATAGGCAGATGGAGTACAATGTGAATAAACGTGAGCCATCTACTTAGGTGAGAAGAACAGCAAAGCAAATTATTATTTAACTAGAGAGGAAATTGCAGAATTCAGCAGTATACTATGTTCTAGACCTCATGCATAAATCACAAAATAGTTAACGTGCAGGTTTAGCAAGTAAACAAGAAGGCAAGTAGAATGTTGAGCTTTAAATGAAAGAGGATGGAGGATAAAAATAGGAAAATCTTGCCACGGTACAGGACATTGTTTAAACCACACCTATTTTATGTACAGTGTTGATTTCATTAGTTAAGGTGGGAACTGGAAATAGTTCAGAGAATGTTCACTAGGACGATTTGTGGACGGAGGGGTTATCTTGTGAGGAAACATTGGGCCTATACTCAATGGAATCTAGAAGAATAATATGATCTTGCTGTCATATATAAGGGTAGTTTTTGAAAGAACGTTTCCTGTAATCAAGAAAGCTAGAACTAGAGGGTGCAGTTTCACAATAAGGGGCCTCCCATTTAAGGTGAAGACAAATGGGCTATTGTCTCTCAGATTGTTAATCTTTGGAATTCTCTACCCAGAGAGTAGTGGAGGCTGGGTCATTGAACATATTCAAGGCTGTGTTAGCCAGGATTTTGATTTACAAAGTTGAGCATAATGGGCTGGCAGGCTGGACACTGGGGTTAAAGCCACAATCAGAACAGTGACAATCTTATTAAATGGTGAAACTGGCTTAATGTGTCACATGGCCCACTTCTATTTGTTTTTGTGTTATTAGTGCAAATCCTTGCTCTCTAGCCAGGGTTAGTAGTTAGCAATTTTCTTTTTCACTCTTCAAGGCTAACAGCCGTGGCTGTTGTGTTTGTACATTGAGAACAGGAGCTTCTGTCTTCAGGTTACTGGAATTCCAATCAAGGCTGGTGGTGCTAAAAGCATATTAGGATGTGGAGTGGGGCCTCACCAATGCATTCGCTGCCAGACATGGCTAGCAGTGGAGAGGAGGGAAAGCAAAAGAAATCGCAAAGGAAAAGAAGAGGCTGGCAGGTGGACAGAGAATACTGGCAATGGGGGAGGAGTGAAGACAAGACAATGTAAAATAATAGCATGCATAAGCGAATGTAAGGGGAGGAAATTAAGTACTTGATGAAGAGAAGCAATAAGTCAGTAGCATGGGGGAAGGGAAGAGAGTGAACTTGATTTTAAACTTGCACAGATTGCCTCTATTTTAAATGAAAGGGCCACAGGTTGCATGAATTATGAAGGGACTGGTTGCAGTGAAGAGGAAGTAGGATGATTTTAAAGGAGTTGTTAGGGTCAGTGGAGAGAATCTTTTGCCCTGTGGTTGGGATGTTTGGTGGGATGTCCAGAACAAGGCAGCAAAACTTATGAGTTTGAGCAAGTCCCTTGAGGGAAACGTCAGGAAACACTTTAGTACAAAGGATGGTGCAAATCTAAAACTCACTGCCCTGTACCAACCCCTGTCCAAAAAGAAGGGAATAGCCACTGAACCTCTGAGTGCAGTTGGGATGAGGGCTTCAGGTGAAAACTTCCAAATTCTGTTGTTTTTTTTTTGTTAGCAAAGGTATTAAGGTTTGTAAAGCTATGTCAGGTAGATGGAGCTAAAGTACAGATGACCCATGAAACAACAGACTTTGTTGTAATATGAAACTTGAGGGCATTGCGCAGCCACTCACTGAGGTCTATTAAAACATGTGAGAGTTTGTTTAATTTCCTTTTGAATGCTTTTGCTTAATAGATATTTAAGCATTGAATACAGAGGAGTGAAGTATACATGAATCATCCAGTTTGATTAAAAATTTATTTTGTTTCGAGTTGCTAGGAAAGTGAGAATATGGGCTTGTTGGACAACTACCATCATAGTGGGCAGAAGAAGGTGCTCATTAATGACTCATGATCTTCACAAAAATGCTTGACTAGAAATGACAGTGTTTGGCTTCAAGGGCTGAATGGTATCCCATTCATCTGAGATGGGCTTGAAAGGTTGAATAGCCTCCTTGTGTTCCTTTGCCAGGCTCCACTGTCATGGCCTCCTGTGCCTGTGCAGCAGGCTCAAGGGCTGACTGCCCTCCACCTGTTCCTGTGTAACAGGTTCAAAGATCAGGTCCTGGGTATCTACTGAAATTGTTCTAATATGTAATGATATTAATGAACTTCTTCCACCAGGACTGAAAAGGCCATAATGGAGCAACATCTGCACTGTTTGAACTGTGTGAGCCGGCGTTGCATGGTTAGACCAGAGATGAATGTGTCGTGTGACTTGATTGGCTGCCCCCTGGTGTGTGGAGCTGTCTTTCACTCATGCAAAGTGAGTGAACATCGCCTACTGTGTCCCCTTGAGAGAGTGCCATGCCTCAATAGTGCGTTTGGATGCCCGTTCATCATTGCACGGAACAAGATTAGTGAACACCTGGAGCTTTGTCCTGCTAGTGTGGTTTGCTGCACAATGGAATGGAACCGTTGGCCTGTAAGCTATGCTGACCGCAAATCCTATGAAAGCTTAAGCAAAGATGGTGATGGAGTGGAGCAGTTGGACTTGGCTTTAGCTCTTCAGGATCAGCGGATGCTCCTTGAGTCACTCAAAGTTGTGACCACTGCTTCAAACTTGGCTCCCAAGCAGTTCAAAAGTGAAGAGCAAATCTCCAAGACTATGGAGCCATTGGATGAACCCCCTTCCAGTTTGCTGTCAGTGAATGAAGAAGCTTACACTGAACTGTATCGAGCGACAGTTGAAACGACCAGAACTTTAGCGGTAGCCCTTGACCTCTTGAACAATACGGCAAAAGATGGGGAGCTGGCAAATGGGAGTCTACCTGAGGAGCGATCTGAAAGGAATGGAGGTGTCCGGGTTATGGAGGAGGATCCATCAAAATCGTGCTTTGTGGAGATCAGTGACGATCCCTGCAAAAGCATAATGGAGGGAGGAGCAGTTGGTGGTGCAGACTGTGATTCTGTAGCCTATGATCCGCCTTGGAGGGATTGGAACTTGTGTGTGGAGGAAAATGGATTTCATGCATTGTCTGGTGTGGTGACTGAAACAAATGATGGCACAGATGGATGTATTCAGTTAAAGACAAGTGCCTTATGTAATGGTTTTCACAAAGCAGATGTGAATGCTTATACTTTGGATCAGGAGGGAGTGGAGTCATACAATTGTGATCAGCAAGCAGAAGAGACGATGAATGGTTCTTGCCATGAAAATGATATGGATTGTGATGGGAGTTCCTCGGAACCTGATCACTTCTTACCTGTATTTGCACAGCTACTTACTGTGGAAGGTTTGTTACATCCAGACCGTTTTCAGGAGGGCTGCTTGCCTTCTGATCCCTGTGGAGTCAGAAAATTAGTCAACAGACCTTCTGAGCGGCAAGCACTCAAGAAAATTGCCACTTTCAAACTGTTAGATGGACACAATGGGCGTAGGCCATATCTTGGGGACTTGAATTGGTATAGGAAAAAAATGGAAAGCAAAGCAGTTGACACATCAGATCTGGAGGTGGATGATGACCCTCTAGAATTACAGGGAATTGACCTGATAACAGCTGCTTTATTGTTCTGTTTGGGAGACTCTCCCAGTGGTAGAGGGATCTCTGACAGCCGGAGTGTTGATGGAAACCGTGTTGATTTGGGCACACAAACTTTCTCCTTTCCAGCAGCCATATTAGCTACCAATACCACAGTTGGAGAGATTGCCTCCGCATCTGCTTGTGATCATGCTAATCCTCAGCTATCGAACCCGAGCCCTTTCCACACACTTGGGCTGGACCTGGTCTTGGAGTGTGTGACCAGATATCAAACAAAGCAACGCTCAATGTTCACTTTTGTATGTGGTCAGTTTTTTAGGAGAGATGAGTTTCCTTCTCACTTTAAGAATGTGCATGGGGACATTCATGCTGGCCTCAATGGTTGGTTGGAACATCGATGCCCTTTGGCCTATTATGGCTGTACCTATTCCCAGAGACGGTTCTGCCCTTCTGCCCAGGGTTCAAAAGTTATTCACGATCGCCATCTGAAGTCTTTTGGAATTCAGCCATGTGTTCCATCCATGTTGTTAGGATCCCATGAGAGTCGGTTATCCAGCACAGGAGTAGCTGTTGACCAATTGAGCAAACTGCCCTTTGAGATTTTGCAACACATTGCTGGATTTCTAGATGGGTTCAGCTTATCTCAGCTCTCTGAAGTGTCACATTTAATGAGGGACGTATGCAGCAGTCTGTTGCAGGTTCGGGGGATGGTCATCCTGCTTTGGGAAAAAAGACAGGACCTTCATGGAAAGGTCTCTTGGAAAACAAAAGGCAAGGTTTGTGTTTTTCCATTAAATTTGATTCACTATTTGTTTAAGAATTAAGACATAATATTGTTTTGATCTCCATAGAGACTGTTAAGGTTTAGAGTAATTTGTGTTGTTAACCAAGTCTCTCAATTGTGTTTTTTAAATGACATTTAACTGTTTGAGCTGAAGTAAACACAACTAGATACACATGTTGTTAGCTAATTATTTATACTTTACTTCAAAAATAAAACACAACCACACAAAGCTTAGACCAAAACCTAACTAAACCTTTTCCAATTTCGCACTGACGTTTTGGGTCCGGTGACTCTTTCTCAGAAATAATGGTAGCTAGGAAAATGTCTGTTTATATGCAGAAAATAGGTTGTGGGGAGGAGGTGAAGAGTAAACGATTGGTGGGGATAGAGCCCAAAGAGAGAGGGAAAAACAGTTGGACAGACAAAGGAGTTGATACCGATCTGGCTAGGAGGGTGAATAGCTGTTAATGGAGACTGTTAGTGGCTAATAATAGGTAGTGTGTGATGGCAGGTTATGTGATAACAAAACCTGGCCTGGGGGTTAGGGGACTAGGGCATGGCAAAGTTCAGGTCCTAAAATTATTGAACTCCAAATCGAGTCTGGAGGGCTGCAGGAACCCCAAGCAGAAAATGAGGTGGTGTTCTTCCACCTGAGCTTCCCTGGAACGCTGCAGCAAGCCTGAGACAGAGACGTTCTGCTTGCAAAAAAGAGAGTTTCCAGTTGCCTGCCATTTTAACACACCACTGTGTTCCCTGCCCAATATCTCTGGCTGCCAGACTTGTTGAGCTTTTCCAGCAACGTCAGTTTTTGTTCCTGATTTACAGCATTTGCAGTTCTTTTGGTTTTAATTAGTTTCTAATCACTGGTTTTAATACTCTATTGGCAGGACAGTAGGGAGCTCAGAGGTACAGAGGGCACTTGGGATGTTTGGAGTCCACAGGTCCCTAAACGTGGCAGGACAGGTCATATGATAGCTAAGCTATACAAGATTCTTGCCTTCATCAGTCTTGTCACAGATTATAAGAGCAGAGAGGATATGTTGAAGCTTTGGTTAGGCCACAGCCGGAGGGCTATGTGCAATTGTGGTCACCACGCTTACAGGAAGAATGTGATTGCACTGAAGGAGGTGCAGAAGAGATTTGGCAGGATGTTGCCTGTGATGGAGCTGTTCCTCTATGAAGAGAGTCTGGACAAGCTTGGGATGTTTTCTTTGAAGCAGGGAAGACTGAGCGGAGACCTGATTGAAGTGCGCAAGATTTGAGGGGTATGGACAGGGTGCATAGAAAGCAGCTGAAGCAGTTGAAGGTCAGTATTGAAAGGCATAACTTTAAGGTGACAGGCAGGAGATTTAGAGCTGTTTTGGGAATTTTTTTCCTGCCGGTGGATGACTAGAAGGTAGTTGAACTGGAAAACCTCAATTTTTAAGAAGTACCTCGATGAGCACTGGAAATATCATAACATTCAAGGCTGTGGGTCAAGTGCTAAGTTGGATCATGTAGACATAGTAGTTTTCATCAATGCGGATCTGATGGTTCTGTGCTGTATGATTCTCTGATAACCTACTGCTCCAAAGTGTTTTTATAGCTCTTAGCACATTTCTGTCTCTGCCTGATTTAGTTGATGCATTCCAAGATGATGATCCTAGCATCTGAAAACAAAGGTTAAAAGACATGCTAAAGAGAGTTGCTGTTAACCTGCAGCCTGGTTTCAGACCATTTGTGATTGGGAATGGATCATAAGCCTTGCTATCCTCCGTGCCCTCCAAAGATACAGTCATGGAACTGTCAAACCATAATATTGAATGTTTCAGGGCAATTACATTTCTCCATTAGCTTCCAAATACTCTCTTGGCTAACTGTCAAAGGTCTTGATCATGTCACCATATGTGGTGTAGAGTTCTGTGTCCTAAACTTAACATTTCTCCTGGTGCTGTCTAACTGCAAGCACCATCTTAGTGATTCCTCAGCCTTTTCTAAAACCACACATTCAATGACAGCACATCTGCGTTGAGATATTGCATAAAATTGTTCAGGAGGATGCTTGTGAAGATTTTCTGATGATGAAGAGGGGTGAGGTTCCTCTCTAATTGTCACAAAATTTATTTCTTTTCGCTTGTACTACTGGATAATGTAGCTGTCTTTGTAAACATGCAGGATGCCACAGGGACTGAAAGAATTCCGTGAACATTTTGGCACCAAAGAAGAGTTTGTATTTGTTGTTTATAATGGCGTGCAAGAGTCATCAAAGAGACCATTGATGGTAGCCCTTTTGTTTGCTTTATTGATGGACAAAGGTCAATTGAGGATATGGATAAAGTGTTTTGCCCCTCTTTCTGGAGTTTGGCTGTGTTGATTCATAGAAGTACGTGAAATGATGTTTCATATAGGTTATGGTTTGCAATGTAGTGATGAAAGATGAAGTTTATTGACTGATGGAAGTTTGCTCATTTTGCTCCGGATTCATCTCAACAAATGAGCCCCCGCTGATGGGGGCACACAGTCATGACTATGAAAATCTGATTACAGAGCCAGATAATGCAATTTAATGTCCAAGACGTTCTTTTTGGGCTAATAACCTGAGGCAGATGTCAGGCTTGTGAGTATAATCTAGTGTTTATACTTAGACCGCTTCAGGAGAAATGACAAGAACAGAACATGGGCCTCTTACAGCATTCTTGTTGACCTGCCAAAGCCCTTTGACTCAGTCAACCATGAAGGGAATGGATAGATTTGGTTGCCCTGGAAAATTCCTTCCAATAGTTTGCCACAACACAGATGGTATTCTTACACCTGCCCTAGATGGTGGTCATTTTTCTGATCCATTCCCAATCGTTAATAGAGTTAAACAGGGCTGAATGCTGTCATAAACTCTTTACAGCATGGTTTTTTTTCTTCCCCCGTGATGTCCAGTGCTAGGGTCACGACCATAGAATACATCAAAATTAGTTATCACGTGGACAGGAAGCTGCTCAATTTGAGATGACTCCTGGCAAAGATCAAAGTCTCCAAGGACAAACTTTGCAACTTCCTGCTAACTGATGACTGCACTAGCTGCCTGTTCAGAACTGGAATTGCAACATAGCATAGACTTATTCTGCAATGCATGTGATAACTTTGACCTTAAGATCAGCACAAAATAAACAGATGTAATGTACCAGCCTGCTCCGGAAAAGGCCTATTATCGCCTTCGTGGCTGCCATCTACTGTGGTTGCTGATTCCATAAATCATTTGAAGGGGGAGTTGAACAGGTATTTTAGGGTTAGGAATTTATAGGATTATAGCAAAAAAGAGTGGATATAGGCTGAATGTCCCCTATCTATGATCTATGTTTCTATGTTTATTATGATTCTTATGAGAAAAATATTTGAATTAGCTTTTTGGGGTCCTAGTCCATTTTCGGAGTTATGTCTCAGATTGACTTTGCATTAGGATTGTATCAGGCGTTATAATGAGATTAACGTAAAATTAATGCACAATATATTTTAATAGACTGATTTTTTTCTAAAACAAAGACAAAGTAAGCCACTGTAAGGGTTGTGCCGTTTTGGATTCCCCAATGTGCAGTTGTTTTTAATTCCTTGGAATTTAAAACCTTAAAGAAAGGCTAGGTCATTAGTTATACTGTTGAACTGTGTTTATATGCATCTTGTTTGTTAAATGATCAGATTGTTAATTTGATACCTGCAGCACTATTGTTAAAGATGATTTATATCTGGCTGTTTAAAAACGAATACCAGGACCATTCTTTAATAGATAGTTGACAGGCTAAATGGCCTGTTTCTTTCTAAGATGTTTGTCCAGGCTTTTGGCTAGAATATTCCAAAATTAACTTCGCTGCTCATCCCTTTTCTTAAGCTCTATCTTTAAATGCTTATCTCTCTCTTTTGGTGAAATAAACTTGAAATTGACAGAATGAAACCAAATAATGCTGAAGAATGCTAATTGCTTTCAGTTAATTTTGAGAAGGAGCTGCAAATGTGAGACTTGATCCCAATGAGTTACTTTGTGCCACCTAATTAGAATTTTCATTTTGGAAGTGGATTATAATCGGTTTATAGCTTGCAAATTCAAAGGTCACATGCACACATACATAGAACCTCAGTTTTTTTTTGTATTTGTATCTTATTTATCTAAAGCAGGAAACACAAAAAACAACATCACTAGTGCAGTGGTAATATTTCTACGTGATTGCATCATTTAATAAATAAGTTGATGACAATAAAAAAGAACTCCTGAATACCAAATGGCATCCCTTGAGAAAATCTCAAGAGCCCTCAAAATTTGAGCCCTGCTTCCAAAGTTGTGCATGGAATCAAGTTTCACCACCTTTTTCAAGTAGTGTTCTGAGTCCTGATAACACTGGATAGAAAAGATTTCTTCTTGTTTGACTCCATATCTTTTGTCAATGATGGTTATTAGTTCACACAAAGAATAGGTACTCTCTCTCTAGTCTTGTCAAAATACCTCACCTCTTAATTTTCATTGTTCTGAAGCAAGCAGTCCTAATTTCTAACTTTGCTGCATAACTGAACTGCCTTTACATACCATACATTTACCCATTTAATCACTCTGCCTGTATACTTGATGTCTACAATTGTGCACATCATTCTTATATGCTGAGTTTCATATGAGCTTCCAAGTTGATCATGCTCCCTATACCTGAGTCTAGTTTTTAAATAAAAATTAAGAGCAATTGAACCAAGACTGATTCTTGAGGAACATCACACCAAGCTGCCTCCCAGTCTCCCAAACTTCCCTCTTCCAGCACTTCCTATAACTGAACCAATTTTGTATACATACCACTATCTTCCTCTTAATTTTACGCGCTGTCCTCAATAATTTTTCAGGTTGACAATTTGATGAATGCCGTGTAATCTTTACTAATTTATCACCATTATTACTTCAAAGAATTTAATCAAGTTAGTCAAACACAATTTCCCTTTAATCAATACTGATCCTTGTGGTTGGTTGGATTGCCGAGCTGGTTTGTT